CAGCCGCTGTTGAAACTGATCAGTTTCAGCAGCGGCTGAATCTGGACGCCAGTTCCGACTTACATACAGATTCAACTTAAGAACAAACCTACAGTCCCTATCTTGTATGTAACCCGGGGACTGCCTGTATTTTGCATCTTATGGCTGTGATCCAGAGCCCATAGAAATCAATGGAAAGACTTCCATTGAGTTCAGTGGACTTTAATCAGGTACTTCCACATAACTTTACATTAATCACATTTTTAATGACAAAATGTTTAACACACACAATTTTGTTTTATTACTGTGGCTGGCGCCAATGCTAGTGAAATCAATGGGAGTACTCAGGAGGTGTTAATTCTGTTCAATGTAAGCAAGTTGAAGAACAGAATTCTGTGTTCAGTCTTTATCAAATTCAGCCTGTAAAGAAGGTGCAAATTGCATTAACTAGTGCAGTGAAGTTTTCCTGTATATTAAATTCTGGTTTTAGAGCTGGGAAATTTATTGCTTAAAAGGAATTCAGCTATTCTTGGTTTTCTGTTTTATTGCAGCTTGTCATATGCAAGTTGTAAAAGGGCGTGTTTGAATTCACTGTGCTGGGGGTCACAATATATTTGTTTAAGAATATCGTCTCCTTTATATTCTTGGCTTTAGGAGGGGTTCTTTTATGGTGTTAGGCAGTACTGAGTTATCCATTAGAACAATAAAACTATTTCATCACCACATGTCACACCTGAACTTTGTACAGAAACTGTCCAACGCCCATTCCAACATATACATTAAACTAACAGCCCTACCCAGGTTGAATCTATTGAGAGCTGAAATAGCATGAAAAGGATTTAAAAATCCCAGAGAAGTTTCAGCATGCTAATCTGTAATACGTTTATGTTCTAATTTAAAGTAGTTTGTAATATTTGTGAAAATAAATTACAGCCATCATTGGGAGCAGAGAATCTTGAGAAAAAGATTATAGCTACCAAAAAATTTTAAATTACATGTGTAAGGATTTTTATTTTTGTGGTCTATGAACCCCTTTCATAGTGTCTGAATATTGCATTTTTTTACTTATACAAAACAGTTTGAAACTCCACAGGACACCTAGACCTGATACAAAGCCCATTGAAGTCAATAGGAATCTTTCCATAGTGTTCAGTGAGCTTTGGATAAGGTCATTAGACTGTGTCTTAGTTGTGGACTTGGGTTTGATTTAGCTTTATCCAGAATATTTATCTGTGTATTGAAGGTCCTTGTTTCACTTTCACCAGCCCAGCTAGAGTCCAGGTACATTATGGAGAGATCTATATGTTATTTGCTGGGTAACTTGTCTCTGAGAATCACTCAGGGTATGTCTACACTACAAAGTTAGTTCGAACTAACGGACGTTAGTTCGAACTAACTTTAATAGGCGCTACACTAGCGCTCCGCTAGTTCAAATTTAATTCGAACTAGCGGAGCGCTTAGTTCGAACTAGGTAAACCTCATTTTACGAGGATTAAGCCTAGTTCGAACTAGCTAGTTCGAATTAAGGGCTGTGTAGACCCTTAATTCGAACTAGTGGGAGACTAAGGCTTCCCAGGTTTCCCTGGTGACCACTCTGGCCAACACCAGGGAAACTCTATTGCCCCCCTCCCGGCCCCGGACCCCTTAAAGGGCCACGGGCTGGCTAC